TATGCTTCGTTAAGTCAACGAGCAATTCTTGCCGCAAAGAATAATGATGTACACGCACTCAATTTCACCATTCAATTGAAAATTGCTGGTGATTTGGTGACATACCAATGATTCCGACTGGTCTTCTGTTCGACTTCAAACGATTGCAATTTCCAGTTCGTCTTGCGTTCGCAATAAAAGTCGCAAGGTCAATCGCTTAGTGTTTGCGGGATAAATTTCAAATAGATTATTTAGAAAATCATTGTTTTTCACATGGACAGTTATACGTTGCCTGTTCACGAGTTGGAAAACCATCCGCTTTTTGTGTTAACGTCAGACCAAAAAACAAAAATGTGGTTTACCAAAGAGCACTTCAATGAAACGGATAATTGCGGATTCACTTCATTTACTTAGAGAAGTTCAACTAAAAAACACTTCATTTTTGTAATCGAAATAAATTCATTACTGTTGTGTAATAGAATCAAATTTTTCCTTTTCAAATATAAAACAAACAAAAAATTTCTTCATCTTTCTCACGAAACCATCTTGTGGCAAAACGGAGTTCGTCGGGTTTGCTAGTATATTATAATTATAAATACTGATTTTTATAAATTGATATTATAGTATGTTATTAATTCTGACTGTTTTATCAAAATTATCGAGTTACATCAATTGGCTTTTAAATTCTTAAAACGTGAGGCTTAAAAGGGGAAGGGTTGAAAAAATCACGTAGAGGAAAAGAGGTCTACTAATATCACGTGTATTTAGTTTCTTCCTGAATTTGAAAAAAGAATCCAATTATCAATTTTTCGAAAAAATAAACCCAAAAATGCTACCATATTTTCTAGGTACTGATAATACACGTAATGTTGATTGTGGGAAAGGGGTTGATTTTAAATATCACCATGCACGTATCACCAAGGGCAGAGAAGTGTTTCAAAAATCCTCAAAAATCGAACAATTTCTTATAAAAAGGACTCTACTGACGAGCAAACTAAATGTCGACACAAACCGGAAGATTCTACTAACAAGCAAACTAAAATAAAAAGAATATACATATATTTATTAGTGGTAATTTATTGCGTGTAAAAGTATATAAAATATATTTATCTGTACTCTTGTAAGTATTTACATATATAGAAATTTAATATTTTTTTGTACACTTTTATGGCATTGTGATATTATGGAATGCTTTTATAATATTTAATTAAAATTAAATAATATAATATTTAACTGAAAATAATTGGTCTCTTGAACTTTCAATAATATTTATAATAAAATCATTATATTTAATATAAAAATTATACTAATATTATATATATATACATTAGGGTGGTCCTTAATATGGACATTTTCGAAATTCCTTGTTCCCAAGGGCTCAAATGGTTCCAAATTGAAAAAAAATATTTCTCTGAAAGTTTTAACTCTTAAAATTGTCTTTTAGATAGAGAGCAATTCAATCGAACTTCGTATGGAAATAGCATGGAAAAGATTTAGAATATTAAAAAAAAAATTTTATTATTTAGCGACAAATGAATTAAAAGTAAAAATTCGTGACATATTTTATTGAAAATTCAACGCTCTGCAAAATTTTTGAAAAATTTTTCATGCTAGTTTCCTACAAAACTTTGATTGAATTGCGCTCTATCTAAAAAGACAAAATTAGGAGCTAAAATTTTCAGAGAATTGTTTTTCATCAATTTGGAAGCATTTGAGCCCCTGGGAGCAAGGAAATTCAAAAATGTCCATATTAAGGACCACCCTAATATATTTATATATATATATAATATATATATATATGTATATATATTTAATATGTATACTATATTTATATAGTTATATAAAATATAGTTAAAAACAAAAAGTTTTTTAACCAGCAATCCATCCAGATAATAAAAATATAACTAAATTATTTTTTTAACATAAATTTTTTGACTTTCATACGTTTCGAATCCTAATTTGAATCTTTTCTCTGACACAAATTCGTTGTTTTATCTTTAAATTCTTTAAATTTGATTGAAAACGTTGTTTCCATCTTCTTTAAATTCTTTCAAATCGATACATAAAAACAAAATAAAATAAATATATGAGCGACGTCTATTCTGTTCCAATTTCTTTCAAATTAAATTATGGTTATCTTTATTGATTATTTTATCTTTTTGTAAATATATTTTCTAGTTTTGTTCAATAGCGAAAAGTAATTTTTCAAATTTATTATGCTTCATTCTTTTCTTTACATATTACATATTTACTTTTTTGTACATATTTTAATTTTTTAATGAATATACAGAGTCCATTTTTTATACACTGTATGCGGATATGATCCGAATTCGTCTTACCTACTGAAGAAAATTGTTTGTCACATTTTTTCTTATGTAATGTCAAATGCAATGTTATATATATTCGTAATTCAAATGTCCCGCCATTACTATTGGTGATGTTGGCAATAGTGTTCCCCTACTATAACTATGTATCCGCCATCTTATATTTATGTTTATGTTGAAAACTTTGTAAAATAATTCTCTTCTTGCTGAACCGTGAACCAAGTAACATTTAAAATAAACTGAGTAATTTAATGTAAGCATTTTTATTATACCACCTACAAATAAAAATATAGTATTATACTGCTTGATACCGAGCTCACTGCGGTTGGGATCCCCGGAACTAGGAATTAATAGCCTATGTTCTTACCAAGTGACCGTTAGGACTCAAAACGTATAAAAGCTTATGAAAAAAATTACATAGTTTAATTTTAATATTAATACCTAGATGTATGGCTGCAAAAACATTTTTTGCTTTTAATTATTTAGTGATTTATATATGTATTTATATTAAGGCAGGGCCGGTCCTGCCTTGCATGCAATGCATGCAAAAAATGCGGGCGCAAGCCTTAGGGGGCGCCAAAACGAGTTTCGGAAATTAAATTTATAATATGATATTTATATTTTTCATATAAAATCTAGAATTATTTATTTGAAATCTAGAATACTTAATAAATTATAATAAATAATTTAACTTAACTAGGGATACGAAGACACAAAAAGCATATTTATTTTGCAATGTGATATCAGTAGAAACAATTATCCGATTAATAACTCTGCAACTTAGTAAGTAACAGCTCTGTTTATTGCTTAATCTACTTATTCAATTTTTTCTTTGTTTGAAGTTACCGTGAAATCGAAAAAGAAATTATCTAGTGTTCAATCCCAAAAGCGCAAACCTGCGAAAGATTAAATTAATTGTTGGGCATTATTGACGAAAAATTGCTAGCTAATTTAATTGAATCGGAACTTGTTGAAAATATAAACAAATTATAAAAAATGGGGGGTCAGTGCTTAGAAAATGACTTGTTTATTCCGAGAAATTGAATTGTAACCTTTGCTTTTGTTGCAAATGTTTCGCATCTGTTGAACTTTGAATGTTGAAGATATGCGTGGAACAAATATGAAAAATGGAAGCAAAATTTACTTTGGAACGAAAATCTTAAGGCTTGGTTTATACCTAGTGGTGTCCAATTTAATAATTATTACTATACAGAATATTGTTCAAGAAATGTGTAAATTCTTTGCATTTTTACTGATTTTTGAACAATACTTCTAAAATACGTTAAAAATTTAACTTTAAAACAATAAGCTGATACTCTGGATATGACGGCTCTTATGATATTAATAAGGAGAAGTTTACGACGCAATTTTAGATATTGTAAATGATAAAAAATTAAATTAAATTAAAATTTAAAAAATCCAACATGAAATACGAGTGTTATGTTTGAAAATTAAATGCTAGTTTTTTTTAAATAAAAATATTGCACATACGTTAAAAATAATTGAAAATTTCAAAATACTTGATTATAATAAACCCCCAAATCGCCTCGATTTTCTGAATAAATTTAAAACCAAAATATTTTGATATACGCTTTTAGATTATATCTAATTTTTTGTGCACTAAATCCAGAATTAATTTATTTATTTCACTTAATATATTTGTTAAATTAAAGTTATAGAATTTAAGAAATGCATTTCAGAAATAGGATTTATTATTTTGATATCAAGATCTTTATATCAAAATAATAAATACTATTTCTGAAATGCATTTATTAAATTCTATAACTTTAACAAAAATATTAATTCTTTTGCTATGGTAGTCGAACTTACATCCTTAACCAATTTACTAGAAATTGAATATTACTAAAATGTGAAATTACTACCGGGATTGTTTTATTTATTGATATCGATAATAATAAATAAATTTAAAATCAATATATTTTATACCCTTCTAGATTATATCTAATTTTTTGTGTACTAAATCCAGAATAATTAAAAATTAATTTATAAAAAATATGTAAATATTTATATAATTTTAATGATAAACTGTTAAAACGGTGAAAATTAATAGGGGGGGAGGCGCTAGAAAAAAAGTTGCATGCGGGCGCTAAGGACCCCAGGACCGGCCCTGTATATATATATATATACATATACATATATATAAACTATCTCTACTGTCTACTTCCCCCTACGCCTTGTTATGTATCCACGGTCTAAAAACGGGCAAAGTCGACGGATAGTGAGCCTCCGCCAAATTGGCCCTCAGGGTGCCCCCCAAAGTCTCGTCGCCATTGGCGCCGGCATCTCCTGTCCTCAACGGATAAGTTGCCACTACAATTGGCAGCTGAAGTTTCACTTCTTTGTCCAGGCTTTTGGGCTCGATTATAAACTAGAGAAATAATAGATAATAGATAAAAGAAATAGATAGAAAAGTATACCAAGTCGCTGTAAGGATGTACATTAGGGTGGTTCTTAACATAAACATTTTCGAATTTCCTTGCTCCCAGGGGCTCAAATGGTTCCAAATAGATAAAAAATAATTCTTTGAAAGTTTTAGCTCTTTAATATTAACTTTTAGATAGAGCGCAATTCAATCAAACTTTGTATGGAAATAGCATGGAAAAAATTTTGAAAATTAAAAAAAAAAATTTTAGGTATAACTTAGCGACAAATGAATTAAAAGTGAAAATTCGTGTTATTGTCTATTGAAAATTCGACGCTCTGCAAAATTTTTGAAATTTTTTAACTTCCCGAAGGAGAAGTTTATGTTTTTATCAAAAATCCGATTCGCTAATTTTATGTTTTCTCGACGTTTCAAGCCATTCCGAATCGAATGAGACCAAATTTGGAAAAAGTATGTGTGTGTGTGTTTGTGTCTGTGAACAGATTTTTTGCCGTAAATCGACGTTTTTTCAAAAACGACTGGACCGATTTCAAAAATTTAAAAGTCATATGATGTACCTCGTTAAAGACTAGCGTTAATCAAAATTTTTTCGTCCACGTTTTAGCTCGCAATTTTGAATCGATTTTGAAAATTCAAAAACCGTTCGAAGGATATTGGTTGGGAATCGTGCCGTTTTATTGTAAGAATGTTAAAAAAAATCGACGATTTTCATGATTTTTTTTTTTGACGGTAGATATCATAGTCTTCTAGATCATACTAAAATATTACGGCCCTACAACAACTCGTTTTGCTTTAAAAATTCGTCAAAATTTGCAAAAATTGGTATCGTTTTTTTGACATTTGTCAAAATTAGACTTTTCATCGACCTTTGCTCAAAAACGCCTGAACTGATTTCAGAAATTTAAAAGCCATTCGATGTATCTCAATGAGCTCTATAGTTTGTCAGTTTTGTGAGACGATCTGCCGAGCCGTTTCTTTGTAATTTGGAAAAAAGTGTTAAACTTTTCGTCCATATTTAAGCTCATTCTACCGAATCGAAAACTCTTCGAAAGATATTCTAAAAAATCAAAAACTGTTCGAAAGAGTTGGGAATGATGCTGATTAGTTTTAGGTGAAAATTTTAATTCAACTTAGTTAAAATTTTAAGCCGATTTTCATGGAACTTTTTTTGGCGATATATATCATGGTCTTATAGAACTTACTGAAATATTACGGCCTTACGACAAGTAGTTTAATTTTCAAAAATCATCAAAGTTTGAGAAAATGAGTAGTTTTGTTGACGTTTGCTAAAATTAAAATTAGAAGATTTATTGGTATTAATAAACCATTAAAGTTCTACCGAAACTGGTTCAAATATAAAAATCGAAATTTGCTTCTATAAAATACTCCGAGTTAACGTGTTCGTTCGTTTTCAATTATGTGTAATAAATTTACTCGGAATACTTCTAATCACTCATAAATTAATTTGTTTATTATTGATTAAGTCGATTATTCACACATATCGGGAAGTTCGTGTAACTTGCCTCAAGGCTAAATACCAATACCAAATTGTTTCATGCTATTTCCATACAAAACTTTGATTGAATTGCACTCTATCTAGAAGACAATATTAAGAGCTAAAACTTTCAGAGAATTGTTCTTTATCAATTTGGAACCATTTGAGCCCTTGGGAGCAAGTAAATTCGAAAATGTCCATATTAAGGACCACCATAATGTACATATTTCTCAAATATTTCATTTACATAAGACGAATGGTAAATGGTAAATGGTAAATTACCAGAGTTAAAATAAATAAATGTTAATCAACTATTTCCTTCTACTTACGTAGACGTCGTACTTGACGTCCATCAAATGGCATCCCCTAAGATTCGTCGGGGGCAAAGGGGGCACGTGCAGGGGCTCCTTACGCCATTTGCAAGTCTCTCCAGGTCTGATGCGCCCCCCACGAGTTATGGCCGCCAATTCGCGGCGCTCCGTCCTCACGACTTTTCCTTGGGCCTTGTATTCTATAGTCTGGGAAAAGATTGAGTTGAAACAAAGAAAAAATATCGAAAAACAAAAATGGCAAAAATAACAAAATTACTAAGCGATAATAAACTAGTTGGTTTGGTATTTAGCCTTGAGGCAAGTTACATGAACTTCCCGATATATTTAAATAATCGACTTAATCAATAAAAACTAATTTTATTTATGAGTGATTAAAAGTATTCCGAGTGGATTTATTACACATCATTACGAACGAACACTTTGACTCGGAGTATTTTCTAAAAGCAAATTTTCAAAAATCAATAATTTTTATAATTGAACCAGTTTTCAAGACTTTAATGGTTTATTATGTTCAAGACCAAGTACTCATTATACCAAGTAAATCGTCTAATTTCAATTTTAACAAATGTCAAAGGAACTACTTATTTTCTCAAACTTCGATGAATTTTTAAAGTTAAACTATTTGTCGCAATGCCGTAATATTTCAGTAAGTTCTATAAGACCATGGTATATATCGCTAAAAAAAAATTCCATAAAAATCAGCTTGAATTTTTTTTTCAACAGTTAATTACAAGAAAACGGCTCGGTAGATTTTCACCTAAAACTGATCAGTATCATTCCCAACTAATATCTTTTGAACAGTTTTTGATTTTTTAAAATCGGTTCGATAGGATGAGCATAAATGTGGACGAAAATTTTAACACTTTTTTTCAAATTACAAAGAAACGGCTTGGCAGATCGTCGCACAAAACTGACAAACAATAGTCCTCACCGAAATACATCAAATGGCTTTTAAAGTTCTGAAATCGGTTCAGGCGCTTTTGAGAAAACGTCGATCAAAAGTCTAATTTTGACAAATGTCAAAAAAACTATACCAATTTTTGTAAATTTTGACGAATTGTTAAAGCTAAACGAGTTGTCTTAGGGCTGTAATATTTTAGTATGACCTAGAAAACTATGGTATCTACCGTCAAAAAAAAAAAATCATAAAAATCGTCGAATTATTTTTTTAAAAACGTTATTACAAGAAAACGGCCCGGCCGATCTTTACCAAAAACTAATCGGCACGATTCCCAACCAATATCTATCGAATGGTTTTTGAATTTTCAGAATCGATTCAGTATTGCGGGCTAAAACGTGGACGAAAAATTTTTCACTTTTCTGCAATTTACAAAGAAACGGCCGATCGCCGCACAAAACTCAAAGACGATAGTCCTCATCAAGATATATCAAATGGCTTTTAAATTTTTGAAATCGGTCCAGCCGTTTTGGAGAAAACGTCGATTTGCGGCAAAAAATCTGTTCACACACACCACTCACACACACACACACACATACACACACACTTTTTCCAAATTTGGTCTCATTCAGGAGATTCAGAATGGCTTGAAACGTCGAGAAAACATAAAATTAGCGAATCGGATTTTTTGATGAAAACATAAACTTCTCCTTCGGGAAGTTAAACTAAAATAAGCAAAAATAGAATAAAATTTAGAACACAGAAAGGCACAATGGCAAATAATAAAAACAAATCAATCATTTGGTCCTGTCTAATTACCTCCGTTAAGGCCGCTCTGATATTTTTAATAGTTATCCCACTGTCATTCGTAACAGTCGCATTGATAAGGACAGTCTCACCAGGAACATATCCGCCTCTGTCCAGACTGACGTCACAAACCAGGGCTCCGCCCCCCACACAGGCCACGCCCCCAACTTTGTGGGACACTGCACACCGATAAGGTTGCTAACAATAAAACAAAATATAATAGAATTATTTTTATAAAAGTCGATTGTGTTACTATTATCGTCTTACCGCCAATACAGGTGGTTCCAAATTCAAATCCACAGGGTTCATAACGATGAACACCTGTTGATTTTTATGGGTGACCCCATGGGGCTCCCTGAGTGCGGCTCTGCAATAATATTGTACCCAACCGTGTTTACCGAGAAACGTGGAAGGTAGACCTAAAGGCAGGCCTAGTTTGAAAGGGAAGCTGTGGATGCCTGGCGATAGGACAGTGGCACCTTGACCTGAAAAAAATCGAAATAAAAAATATTATATTATTTTATAAATAATATTTAAAAGACGAGGTACTGAGGTATAGTACCTCACATCACATCCATTTTTTCTGAGGTATGCCAAAATGTTCAGAAACCTTCAAAGCGTCGAGAAATGCAAAAATTCTCAATTTCGATTTTTGGACGATTACAATAACTTACCCTACGGGAATTTAAAAATATGCAAATATCAATGATGATAACAACAGTAACAATAAAAAACTAAAATTTGGTAAATAGAACACAATTAAAAATAACATTTTTGAAAAAAATTTACTTTGAAAAAATAAGATTTTTTAAAAACTATAAATTGGACAAAAAATTACTTTTTTTGAAAAAAAAAATTTTTAAAAAAAAAAATTTTTTTAAATTTTTTTTTAAAAAAAAATTTTTTTCTTTATTTTGACATATTGTAGAAGATCTGAACTTTTTTTTCAAAGCAATCGCACTGCTTTAACAGCATAGGGACAAAATATAAAGCGTGTAAGCACCGCATCGCTCTCTAACGCATAAGCATTGGTACGGAACCCATAGGAATGTTAACAAAATTTATACTTATTGTTAAAATCTCTATAAAATATCTGATAATTTGATGTGCATATGTCTAATGATCATTTTTGACCGCCAAATGGCTCATTTTTTTACTTTTTTCTCCATATCTCCGAAACCGCTAGACCTACCTTCATGAAAATTTTATCGATTCTTTATCTTGTCAATACAAGTGAAATGTTTTTTGAATTATTCAAATCGGACGCTCCGTTCTCTTAAAAACTGAGTTACCGTTTTCGGCACTTTTTGCCCCGTATCTTCGGAACGACTAGACCTGCCTTCGCCAAAAACTAATCAGCACGTTTCCTTATCAATACGAATCGAATGTTTTTTGAATTATTCAAATCGGTTGATCTGTATTCCCGAAATCGTCGACGAAAATTTGTATCCGCACATACATACACACACGTACATACACACACACACACACACACACACATACATCCATTTTTTCTAAGGTATGCCAAAATGTTCAGAAACTTCTAAAACGTAAAGATATATAAAAATTTTCATTTTTGATTTTTTTGCGATTACTATAACTTACCCTACGGGAAGTTAATAAATTTTTGCTCGAATATTCTGTAATATATCCGCAAATTTAGCGTAATTTAGAGTTGTATTTGACTGAATTCATTCATTGTTCATTTTTATAGATAGTAAATAAAATTATTTTAATTTTAATTAGTAGAACTAAAAAATAATCTTTTTGTCTTGATTATAACTATGAAAATAATTATTCGTTATTCATGCATCATTTTCACATATAAGAATGAAAATATTTTTATGATATTGAAAGGAAAGTTTTCGAATAAATAAAAATAATACATTAATAAATGACAAAAATTCATTAAATTAGAAGAAAAATAAAAAAAATATTAGGTACATGTTGATACATACTTGTTAATATCAATATTAGTTTTAAAAACGATTAAGCTAAACTCGGGTATTATCTGTTCTATATTAGATTAGTATTAGAATTTTAAACATTCTAATTGTTTTTTTGTTTAATAAAATATGATTTCAAAAAACTGAGAACGTCTATCGAATTGCTACCTTTGTTTACGCACAAAATTTCCTGAAAGAGAAAATACTCTCATACTTGCGACCAATTTATGCTTAATTGTTTTTAAAGCCTGATATAATAATTCTAAGTTTTTTGTTCTTTAATTTGTGACTTCTAGGGTTTAAAACTTTTTTTAAGTTTGAGTAGAAGAAGTTACTTCTTTAAGAAGAAGTCACACTGATTTAAATTAATATATACACTGGTATAAAAATCTAAATTAAAATATACAAAACCTTTCTGGGGACCATTGCAGACTGATAAGATATCAAATGCTATTGAACCGATATGATTTCAAGAATCAAAACGCTTTCATCTATCTTTTATATTTGGCTATATTTGTCATTTTCCATTTATACAGTGAAAACCGACTTTTTTCACTAAAAAACCGGTTTTCGAATTCCATAATTTTCGCCAAAAAAACGGTTTTTAAAACCGGTTTTTGAAAACCGGCAAACCCTAATAAATATATTATTACTATGGTTAATGAACAAACCTGGTTCCCCAAGTAATCTCATCCTGAAATCAATATAGTTCTCTCTGTCTCTTGTTCTGACATCACGTGAAGATCTGACTTTTACTACACCTTCACCGATCACATGGAAATGCAGACCTAAAAACACAAAAAAAATTATAATAAAAAAATATCATTTATTAATATAGTTATTAGTACCTATTATTATTTACCTAATGTGGGAATATCCTCCTGAAGTTCCAACAAAACCCTTCCGGATAAAAATTGTCCAGGAAAGTACAAGAGTGAAGTATTGTCGAACAGGACCAGGAATTTAATCAGTTTTCGAGGCATCTTGGTAGATGATCATTAACACGATCACCAGGAGATAACTGAAACAACCAGAAGACAATAATATATTTATTGTAAAACCTTTTGTTTATTTATTTATTTTTAAATATATAGCCCACAGATTTCTTCCAAGAGGATTCAAAAATACAATTATTTTACACAATGAATAACAATTAAAATATATACAAAATTACAATATATAGCTATTAACATAAAATGTTCAACATAAAATTATATATGATGCAGAATGTAACAATATTATTTATAAACAGATTAAGATGAAATAATGAGATATTTGAAAATAAAATAAAAAGGTTAACTTGTGCAGATGGAGATTATTTGATTAGGTGAAGTGTTGTGAATATCCATTTCATTATTAATTAAGTTAAAGTTAGAGGACATAAGTAAAAAAGCCGAATTTAAGAGAGAATTAGATTTAGGAGTAGGAAAATTGAAAAATAATTGTGAACGCGTAGATAGCCTTGGCATATTAAAGGATAGTTGGTTAAGAATAAGAGGACAGTCTATAGAATTATTGCAAAGTGTAAATAAGAACATAATTGTACAGATAAATCGACGTGAGGCAAGGGAAGGAATACCAAATTCTTTTAGTAAAGTGTTGTGGTCAAAGCCACGTTCAGGGTAAATTTTCTATGTTTTATAATAAAGATATTTCAGAAATTTTCGCTGAACCTTCTCTATCGCATCAGAGTTGTTGATTTGATGAAGATACTAAATAATCGAACCATATTCTAATTTTGAACGTACATTAGAATAGTACATGCAAAAAAGTGCATTGTTAGAATTGAATTGTTTACAATTTCTCAATATCAAACCTAAAGATTTATGTGCTCTATTAAAAATATCTGTTATATGATCAGTGAAAAACAAACCAGAATCAAATAAAACTCCTAAATCTGAAATTTTATTACATCTATCAATGCTGGTGTTAGAAATTTTATAATCAAAATGTATTGGAGCGCGCTTATGTGAAAAACTAAGAATCTTGCACTTTGATATATTTAAATGTAATTTGTTATAGACACACCAAGAGTGGAAAAAGTCAAGTTGAGACTGTAATAATAAGCAGTCATCAATATAATTTATTTTGAGATATAGTTTGAGATCATCTGCAAATAATAAATGTGGACAGTTAATAATTTCAGATAAGTCATTAATAAAAATAATAAATAGTAGTGGACCAAGAATGGATCCCTGAGGAACACCTGAACTGATATTTTCAATGTTGCTCCATTAAGATAGACAAACTGTTTACGATTATGAAGATAACTCTTAAAAAAATAAATAAGTGAAGAATTAAGACCAATCTTAGATAATTTAGTAAGAAGAATGTTATGATCAATTTTTTAAATAAACAAATAATACAATACTATTTATATATTCCGGATAATAAAAACATTTTTAGTTTCCAAGCCTCAGTAACATTATTTCTGCAACCTTGCTGGCTTTAATTAAATATGTTAATAAAGTTGAAAAAGATATTAAATTATATGTAACGTAATTGATAACTGCAATTTCATGTTTTGTTCAGTAATAAGACTATGATTAAGTTTATGAACAATTTTTTTTATAACTTTTATGTCGTTCCGACGAGGTCGTGCATGACTAAAAATCTAAATGGCAATTCTCACGGAAGGCCAACAAATTGCATTGTGTATTCTTCATGTTGTTAAATTAATACGAGACTTATAATTATTTTATAAAAAATCTCAAAAACTAGATACTCAAGCATCGTCAAAAATATAGCCAATCTGTCATGAAAAGAAGTTGTTAATAGCTGGATAATGTAATACCCTATTCAAAACCCTAAATGAATAAGAGCCTTTTTATTCAAAGTTTTTACTATCTTTTTATACTATTGTCACTATAAAGACAATACTTTGTCTCACTGGTTGCTATTCTCAGATTTATATTTTTATACTTTTGAATAAATAATTAAAATAATTTAGATCAAGAAATACAAAAAATATATATGGCTATAACATTCTGAACAACTAAGTATAATTATTTTATATTCAACAACAATAATGTAAATAGATAGGTACATTGATGGATATGTGATATCATAAATAAAAATATTTTTTATCCATATTTTTATTGGCTTACAATATTTTAAAAGGTTTGCTTTAACAGTCAACTTCTAACACTCCATTTATTTAGTTAACAAAATTTCCAGACAAGTAAATCTGAAGTTCTTGTAAGATGATAATTACATATTGGCAGAAAAAATGCATTTAGATATTTACTTACAAATAATTTAATATATTTATAATTTAATAATTTTTGTCCATTATACGTCAAAATAATATTCCTCTCGTATAACCGTTACGGCCTGTTGCACTCTGACCTGAAACGAGGCCTAATTTTAGGTTGAGTGCACTTTTGGCCTGATGGCGGGAAATGGGACACTTGCCAATAAGCACATGTTTAAATAATCATAAATAAATTTATTAATCTATTTATCCAAAATTAATAATAAAAGACAATAAATACATTTTAGTAAGACTTTTTGCAAGTAATAGAAATCATGCTGAAAATTTGAACTCAAATGAAACAGATGTTTATTTTTTATGAAATAAATGGTAATGTGGAGAAAAATGTAAAAAAAATTCAGTATTTAAGATATATTAGATTTTAGAGGGAATATAATTTTGACAAAAAAACACAAATTAAAAATGCCATAATGAAAAGAATGCTTTTACCCATTTTACATTTTAAAAAGAATTCATTTACCCATTCTAGATTTTGAAAAGTGATCAATGTGAAAATCCCGTTTGAAATTCCCATTTCAAAATAATTTCAAGAATTTCATTATTGTTTAAAAAATCATAAGAAATTCCGAAATATCACGATAGTCTCTATTTGTGGAAAGAGAATTTTTGCTTTGTTATTGTTCAATACAATGTTATTTGTGAGAAACCAATTTGCATTATACAAAATAATACAAAAGTTGGGAATAATTTTGAAAAAAAAGCAGAAAACTTGTTATAGTTGCGAATAAAATAAGTTATCATAATATGATGTTCATAATAAGAAGAGAAATGTTTTAGAGAAAAAGCCTAGGAATATTTATATATAAGTTTTTCAGACGTTCAAACATATTTGAAAAAAAAAATTAATTAATAATTTGTAATTTGAAAATACAGTTGTTAAAAATTGTAGCAAACATATTATATTCATTAATGCTTTATAGATGATATCACTTTTGTATTCCTAGTGATGATATAATTATAACTTGTTAAAAAAAAATTACAATTTTTAATTGCAACTAAAGATAATGGACTCGATTAGTTTTTTTTCATACTACATTAAATTAATAACAAATTAGAACTAAAAACCAATTAACTTTTGCCAATATTCTAATTATTACAAAAATTTCTTTCAACACAAAACAAGAAATTTAGTTTACCATATGAATTGCAAGATTGCAATTCAATTTATATTGGTAAAACTAGTCAAAATTTTATAAAACGACTTGAAAAACACAAAAACAATGAAAAAGTCCTAAACAATTCAAAACTATGCTTACAGAACATATTAGCACAATAAAACATAATGAAAACTTCTTCAACCCACATTCAGATTTATAATTAAGAAATAAAAAAATGAACTAAAAATTGTTTATGAAATGGTTCATGAAATCATTTGTATAGATTGCAACTCTATAAATATTGATGAAACTAGTTAGACCATATTAGCACAATAAAACAAAAATATTTTTTAACCCTACTATACTACATTCTGATTTATAATTAAGAAATAAAAAATGTTCTATAAATTGTTTATGAAATTAATTGTATAAATTGCGACTCAACTTATATGGGTGAAACTAGTCAAAATTTAATAAAACGACTTCAATGACATAAAAATAATAAAAAAAGTCCAAAACAATATAAAACTCTGTTTACAGAACATATCAACAAAATAAAACATAATTACTCTATGTAAAGATGTAAATTGTTTATTAAATTAATTGTATAGATTGCGACTTAACTTATATAAGTGAAACTAGTTAAAATTTTATAAAACGACTTTAATAACATAAAAATAATGAAAAAGTACCAAACAATTAAAAAATATGCTTATAGAAAACATTAGCACAATAAAACATAATAAAGACCTTTTTAACCCTAGTATACTATATTCAGATTTATAATTGAGAAATTAAAAAATGTACTAAAAATTGTTTATAAAATGGTTTATGAAATTAATTGTATAGATTGCAACTTAACTTATATAGGTTTTTTAAAATAACGTCAATAATATCAAAATAATGAAAAAGTCCCAAGCAATTTAAAACTATGCTTACAGAACATATTATCACAATGAAACATAATAAAGACTTTTTAACCCTAGTATACTACATTCAGATTTATTACCAAGAAATAAAAAATTTACTGAAAATTGTTTATTAAATTAATTGTATAGATTGCGACTCAACGTATATAGGTAAATAAAACCATTTCATTGACATAAAAACAATGAAAAAGACCCAAACAATTTAAAACTACCACATTACCTACAACCTACTATACTACATTCAGATTTATAATTAAGAAATAAAAAATGTACCAAAAATTTCACAGTTTTGGTAATAAATTGACTAAATTTGTTAAACATAATATATACTGTTTAAACCTACTATGGTAAGTTTTAAAGAAAATTTAATCAAAAGACGATTTAAAATAAACATAAAAATATTGTAAAAGTCCAAAACAATTTAAAACTATGCTTGAGAACACATTAGCACAATGAAAAATAATGACGACTTTTTTAACCCTACTATACTACATTCAGATTTTAAATAAACAATAAAAAATGTACCCAAAATTTCATAGTTTTGGTACTAAATTGACTAAATTTATTAAGCATAATATAGACTTTATTAAAGCTACTGTATTATATTTCAAAGAAAATTTAATCAAAAGACGATTTAGAAACAAAAAGTTTTCTGGATTATATTTCGAAATTTGTTGGAAAGCAGCAGAAAATTGTGCCAAAAAATTCTTAGTTATAATAA